CAGATTTACATTCTCCTTGCCCCCTTTTCAGTGCTTGCTATTTTGGCTGCATGTACTGGTCCAAATTATATACAGAAGAGCTCTTCACAGATGTGTCTACTGACAGCTCAACATCTGGCTCTCAGGCACAAAATACAAATTAAACTGAAGTAAAAGCCATAAAACACCTCAGAGTATAACTTATTAATTTTTATTGTTCTGCTGTAAACCTAAAGAAGTTTCAGAATCTGTAAATCAGATGGAATGACAGGAATTTACAGGAATTCTTAAGGATTTTTTATATACTTTCTCTAAAGTCTGCATTAATTTATTCTTGGTGTTCGTTCAACCAACCAAGTCTTGTTTATGTTTTTTAGAAGAGTTCACTATACCTTACGGAGACACCATTTAATAGCATTGCCCTGTATACGGATGACATCTAGTCACTGGCTCTTCGATAAGAATGTTTATTTAGCACCAAAACATTCTCTGATCGCCACCTGCTTTTTCTGAAGGAGAAGCGACACAGTTCCCAGGAAGTGAGCCCTGTGTCGAACACAACGGACAGTGATGATGAATGGACAAGTAAGGAGAAGAGACCAGCCACCACCTCCACCATGGAAGATATGGAGAAAGAGATGGATATAGAGGAGAAGCTGGACAGACCTAGGCTGGCTGTGGAGAAGGTACGCTATGTATTAAAACTGTCAAACTGTCATGATTGTCACTAATGAACTGTTTCATGTGGTGCAAAAAGAAAATGTGTTGTGTTACAAGATGAGAATACCTCCGGCAGCCATTTCCAATGGAGATAGAACAAGTATATGTGTCCATCACATCCTGTTCAACATTCACCTCTCTTGGATACAGTAACTTTGCTATACCATAAATGTCTGGTCTAAAAGCTGTATAACAATACTAAAACACAAATTCTATTCTAATGTTAGAAAGCACATTTAAAAGTGTGTTTTAACTGTTTAGATGACAGAAGGGCAGGGCAGTTGTACATAGTGGACTTGGGGAAAAAACAAGATATGGACCAGCTTGCCTACACATTCAGGTAGCCATAGTAACACACCCAGGAGCCACTGGCCATGTCTTTAAATACACAACAAGCTAATGATGTAACTGGAGAATAGGTCCTCAATACAGCAACAACAACATCAGCAGGGAAAATTACTTTTTTCTGCAGTAGCAAACAGCCTACATGGCGGTTACCGAGTTAATCTAAAATGACCAAAGTCTATACTTTGAAAAAACAAAAAAGGAGTTCAGCATTTCTGTTCCTCACCTCCGTCATGGTAGAGCAGTCTAGTGTTAAACCATCTTGTCTCCACATTGTTTCTGGTTCTCGTTTGCTTGCATTTAAAAAATCTCGACACAATTAAGTTTTAAACCCGAGCTTTTTCTCGACGTAGTCATCGGCTGTGTCTAAAAATGGCTGAAGGCCTGCGATGACTGAGCTCAGCTGACACCTTGTGGTGGGGAGAGTGTATTCCTCATGGAAGTAAGGGAGGGTTTGTGTTCTGCTTGAGCTTTTTTGTGGCTTGATCAAACCCTTAACTGAACTTACTAAGGGCTGTATCGTATTTTTTTGAAATGTTGACATTGAGTGAAAACTCATAGGCACTGTGTTCTTAACCGTTTGGAAGCTCTGAGTTAAAAAGCTTGAAATTTCAAAGCACTCCAGCTTATGGTTGGGATATAGACTTCTGCTTTTGTTTGTTTTTTTGTGGCTGCAGAGAATTATTCAGAACAGCCTCGTTTTAATTTAAAAAAAATCTAAACGACAGCTGTTTTACCGCCTGTATTTTTGGACTGTAGCAATCTTCCACACCAGACAACAATGTGTGCATTGTGTAGCCCTCTTCTTTACTCTTCCACTGCAAGCCTGGGGTGCTTATGGAGGAATTGTGGTAGCAGAGAGCTGGGATACGCTGCAGCAACAGGAGCCTCTAAGCCAAGGGATGATAACTGTCCCATTATCCTCCAGGAGGATTTCACTGGAAGGGGTACTTGCAAAGCACCGTAAACTCCTCTTTTCCTTAAGGGGGTTACTGTAATCGAAATGGACTCAACCCTGATGGCTACTGAATACAGCTGGAGCTCCTGGCTCCCGTCTTTAAGTCTTTATTCATGCCTCTTCTAAAGAGGGGTTACAGCCGCCCTTCTCCGAGACCCCTCGGCGTGTGTTTCTACCAGCTGAGAAACGGAAGTCAAGCACTCTGTGATCTGCCACCTCTTCAGGTTCTGTTCCTGCGCACCCGGGAGCGCAGCCCCAACACGGCGATTCTCCTGACCAGCGCGGCTGACGGCTACGTATACGCCTGGTCCATCAGCCACCAGGGGGGGATGCTGGGAAAGTTCAAAGCAACGCATGGCAGCGACACCGCTGTCTGCTCCATGTCCACAGACCTGGAAGACCAGATGCTTCTCACAGGAGACACGAAGGGCTACATAATGGTAAAGACCACATTTATAGGAAGACTTGCCTTACAGTAAAAAAACGGGGGGGAGGGGGACCATGAAAGTAAATGTTAAAACCTGAGATTCACATTTCAGAAACTTATTTTTAGAAGAAATACAGTAATGCAAAGAAGTCCAAGACTAGCGATTTTTTTCCTGCTATCAATACATTTTAATTGATGTGCGAAATGTATGGGGACTTGATGACATATATTGTATTGCAGAGAGCTCGAGGATGTCCAAAATGGGAAATATAGAAGTTTCAGAGACCACATTTAGTGCGTCTTTGTCAAAGAAGGTGAGAGGTGTCTCTTATTGAGGAAGTCCCAGTATTGGATTGTCCGTCTCTTGTGCCTCCGTGTAGATATGGGACATTGAGAATTACTGCTACTGCATGGGAGATGAACAGGAGTCCTGCTGGAGTGAGGAAGAGGAGAGAGGGGGAGGGAAATGCCTGAGACTAGCTGACCTCATCCCAAAATACTGCAGAGTGCAGGGTCCCAGAAGCCTGGTAGTTAAGGAAGAGAAAGAGGTAATTCAGGCGAATCTGGGTCACAATTTGTACCCATTGAAAGGCAGGACTGCAGGATGATGCCTTTCATTAAGAGACTTACAGTCCGCTTTTATGATTCAAAGGTATGGGGTGGATGGAACATCACCCTCGTCCCCCCAAAGCTGCTCAGCTCTTGGAGGTGCCACCTGAAAGCGGTTACTCACCTGGAGTATGTGGACAGATTTCAGCTCATAGTCACGGCCAGCCTGGACTGTAATGTCCGTCTGTGGAGCATAGCAGGCAAATACATTGGTAGGCAGGAAAGGGAGACATCTGGTGCTGCAAGTTATGCGTTAACTTGTACATCAATAATATTTTAAAAACGCTGAATGATAAGAATTTAATTTAAGAGGTCATGAAGTAATAGAATTTTTTTAATGTCTCGGTGAAACTCTTTTGCACGGACTTGCTGTTGCAAGTCCAGCAGCGTGGTGTATCAGCAGTTAGCAATGATGCACATGGTCTGTGTGTGCAGTATTATTCATAACGTGTGCCCTGGCATTGACAATCCGAAGTTCAGAAAGGACCTTTATCAGTGTACATCATCTGCTGGCCTTGCTCATGTCCCAAGGTCCTCCATGAGAAACACTAACCCACTGACTGCCTGCCACTCAAAGAAAACAAAGAACATCTACTGTTACAGACAGCAAGAGAATCTACCTGCTCAGGATAAGAGGACCAGGTATGACAAGCACTCTCCTGCAATTCTTTTGTCTCCAGGCACCTTTGGCCAAGCTGTGTGGCGTGTGGGTGTGCCCTCTGTCACCCCTGCGGAGTTGCCTGCAGATCTAAGAAGAGTGGGATCCTGCCAGACCCTGAGGGTGCTCAACGCGGGCTCTCACCCTCACTGGCAGTAAGTCTCCAGGAAACCCCCCCAAACCGGGGAGGCCCCCCTGGTGAGACTCAGGGTTATACAGCAAAGACATCATCTCTTCATTCTGCACATTGGCCTCAAGCTGCGTCATAACTCAAAACATGTTACTTTATTCCTACATTATGAGGAAGCAGCTCCTTCTGGGTGCATTGGTGGAATCAAGAGCTCAACAGGATGCCAGTTCATTGCAGGGCACACACACACACCCACGAGTACAGAGGGACAGTTTAGAGACACCGGTTATGTTATCTAGTATTGCTGGTTGAATGGGGAACAAAAGCTTCACATCTAAGAGTTGTAATTTACCCTGCCATCCTAGGAGAATTAAAAAAAATCATATTTTATTTGAGCAGGTTCATTGTGTTTCAGTAAATAAAAAAATACAGTTTTCTGAGTTTTATCACTTTCCTGGGACATTAACACCTCCACCCAAGAGCAGAGCTCCAAGCAAGCTAGTTCATAAAGAAAAGGTCAACTCTAACTTGAGTTCTGTCTGTGAAGTTCCCTTGATTCGAAAGTAGAATGTTATGGCAAAGGACGAGCGCCATAAAAATGACCCGTTAAAAGAGTCTGAGGTCGTGCATCTGCAGCTGTGCCAAGAAACTGGTGGAGAGGCTGGTCAAGCAGAGGCGGCAGCAATCAGTGATGATGACCTTCAAGCTGGCCAACAAGGATTACAGCTCCAAACTGCAGGAGCTCCTGCCCGCCGACCCCTGCATCACCGAGTCCAGCCAGGAGCAAATCGAGGAGACGTGGAGAAAGTGGCAGGTCAAGGGGAAACAGGTATGCACTGCCCGACCGCGGTTGTGCAGACCCTGTCACAGCTGGCTGATGGCAACAAACTGGAAGCCCTATCTGTAGTATTTAACATGCAAAGCAACTGAGTGCCTTAACTGATTCGACTGGTAAAAGTGGTTCCATTTCTAAAAGGAAGAAAAACTTTAGCTCTCCCACCATTGTGTTCCAGAGAAGCAGTGTACTGGGCAGAGCTTACAAACAGAAGGTCAGGCACCATCTGCCCAACCTACCCGATGTCAACACATCTTTCAGCAGCAGAGAGCAGGCAAGTCACCTTTTATTATCATATACGATAACATATATATTAATATAAATACTTTTTAATGGGATACATATTATGATCAATTTATGAGTCCCAGTACTTTAAGAAATAAACAGTGCAGTTACCTTCCTGTGGTAGACAACGCAGGAAGACATGGAAAACCATGCATACGATCTTAAATCAGATCCCGGAGAGCTAGTGCATCTGCAGATTTGCCTTGCACTGCAGCTGATAAAGACCTGAACTGGCTCGTTAATGATTTAATTGGACCAATTAAGATTCTCCCAGCTCATCAGGTGTGGGTATTTTAAATATTTCCCGAAAATCTTCCTATGGACCCTTTAGGACCATGTGTGGACACCCATGAATCATCTAAACTATTACGTACTGCTCTATGTTACTCTATCTTCTTATGCTTCACTGTGCTCCAGCTGAGGATCTACAAGTCCATGCCCTACTCCTCACTCACCCCAGTCACACAGCCGCCCATCCCAGCAGTATTGAGAGAGCAGCAGCTGAAGACCCAGGAGGGCCTCGAGCCCACAGGCAAGCAGAAGCGCCTCAGCAAACGGCAGACTCACCTGCGCTTCACCCCAGCAAACAAAGTCACCAGAAAGAAATCTCCAGCTGCCAAACCAAACGGGAGCAACAGCGCACCTGCGAAGAAGGCACCGAGTCTGTGAAAGTGCCGCTAATCTGCGCTCTGGCCTTGCTTAATAACTGGAAGAAGTAGCAGAAGTTCTCAAGAATAAGTGAAATACAAATTCCCCTTTGAAATGTTCTGTGTCAGTGTTTTTTTGTGTGAGTTGCTGGAGATCACCACAGGACAAAATTGTACAAGACAGACTGGATTTAAAGTGAATTTTCAGTTGATTTCTCTAAAATACAGTGCATCAATAGGACTGTGTATCTCACAGGTTACAGCAGTAAAATCACAGGCAAATTTGAGCCACTTAAATTTGGAAAACCTGCAATGTGGGCACTAGGATACTATTTTCCTGTGGGAAAATAAATGACAGCATTTCAGCCCAGAAAGCCTGGCTTTCGTTATTTTATACAGAAACATTTATTCTCTTTGCACCATCACAGAGGGCATGAAGACATTACATGAAGCACATCACGTCACAAGCATTCTTCATACCACATGATTTCTCCCTAATTCTCCTTAATTCAACAGGAACCAATGTCCCTTTATAAATAGTAGCTGTTGCTCACGCAATTCATTGAATACTCAGGATACTATGCAATAAATTATTAATCACAATCTGTTAGATCACATCAGCAAAGGAAGTTAAAAAATGAATTCATCTTCTTGTACGATTAAAATATTAATGCTATTTCTACTAGGTGGTAGAACAAGCACAGAAATAGAGTTCAGAAGTTCTCAAGTTGTGCTTTCCAGTCACAAAGTGTTAGCTGTTTTATAATTATGGGACTACTATTTTTACAGCTAGGGTTTACAGTATTAAAGGGAACACAAAAACCCTGAATAATACACTTTCACTCCCTGTCAATTCAGTGAAGTGCTAAAATAAAGGCCGCAACACGAAATGTTTAGCAAGTTCCCAAACCTCCCACACATTTGAAAAATAAATGAGCAAGAATAAGATGCTAAGATGCATCCCGACAGATTGTCCATCATGAGAACCAGACAGTATTTTTGTGCATCTTCAGCTTTTGCCCTCCCAAGGTTTGGGTCTTCTACTCATTTGAGACACGGTAGGACTTTGTTGGCACGGGCTGATGTTTAGTTTTTGGAGTCCAGGAACCTCTTTGCCACACTGAATGAGCTGAAACACCTCCGCAAACGAAAGCAGGGAGCCCTCTGCGTCCGGACTCCGTGGCTGAGTCGCGCTGGTGGGATCTGAAGCCCATGGGGTTTCCTGCAGGGTCTGGGGGTTCACATCTCTGTGTGGACTGCTGCAGGCCTGCTCCCCGCGATCTGACTGGGGTGTCCGTGCGCTCTGCCACTTCCGGTAACCTTCGAGGTCAATGGGCTGAACAAACCTACCAACACATTTGGACATTTTAAGGGGGCAGCTTTTTCCTTTAATCTGGAAATAGGCTGCAAATAGTTTTTAATAGTTCTTCTACGGCTATCATTGCCTTGTCAGCACACAACGTTAACTTTCACAGAACAAAGCTTCATAAAAAGTAATAAAGTAGATTATAAGCAAACGAATTACTCTGAAATATCTTCTTGAAGAACAGTGTTCACCCTAGGTGTTACTCGATTTAAGTACTGTATCTTACACTTTTCCACAGTAGACAATCCCATAGTAATCCCACTACGTACCTGTTGTAATAGAAAATTTTCATTTTCAAAATATTTTCCTGCGTTTCACCCGTAATGTTAAGAGTCTTCAAGCCTTTTTGAAATCTGGCGTCATTTTCGAAGTCATGAGAACTAAACCCAAGATAAGGCTCCATATCATTCGTATAATCTTCAACACGAACCAAAACGTGAATCTTTTAACACATCACTATACATAAAATAAGTTATTTTCCTGTTGTTGCTAGAATCGATTTAGGGTGCAAATGTACATATAGTGAATTTATATTTGTGTCAGTGATTAAATTGAAATATTCTTCATATGAATCCTGTACTCATTCTATCGATACAAAGCAGCCATATCGAATCGACGACAACGAGTGTCGGAGGTAAGAAAAGAAACAGGCTTCAAAAACGGAATCCAAACTAACATCGCCACCTATTGGACAGCATGTACACTTACACTTCAGAAATGACGAGGTTAGACGAAGACCTAAGGTGAGTTCAGTGACAGAAAACTTGTCTCCGTGGACAATGCCTCAAAACTGAACAATACCTCTTCAGGTTATACTTTATTAACAGAAATACATTCATTTTACAGATTTTATTTTTTTCTAATTTAAGTTTTAAGGTACAAATCAAACCTACAATTGCTGGAATCCCATGTCTGGTCTTGTCCACAATGTGTCCCAGACTAACACCCGGATATCGATGGATTATTGAAGATAAGAATCCCTACTGTTTTTCA